GAGATGAGGGTCAGGCCAGCAGAATCATCTCCCACATCAAGACATCACGAAGCCTCCACATCATGTGCCACATCCCAGTCTTCTGCTGGATCACTGCTACAGTTCTGGAGGAGGTGTTGGAGACCAGAGAGGGAGGAGAGCTGCCCAAGACCCTGACTGAGATGTACATCCACTTCCTGGTGGTTCAGACCAAACTGAAGAACATCAAGTATGATGGAAGAGCTGGGACAGACCCACACTGGAATAAAAAGAGCAGGAAGATGATTGGGTGTCTGGGAAAACTGGCTTTTGAGCAGCAGCAGAAAGGCAACCTGATCTTCTATGAATCAGACCTGACAGAGTGTGGCATCGATATCAGAGCAGCCTCAGTGTACTCAGGAGTGTTTACACAGATCTTTAAAGAGGAGAGAGGGCTGTACCAGGACAAGGTGTTCTGCTTCGTCCATCTGAGCGTTCAGGAGTTTCTGGCTGCTCTTCATGTCCATCTGACCTTCATCAACTCTGGTGTCAATCTGCTGGCAGAAGAACAAACTACATCCTGGTGGCCTGAAGTGTTTGGAGGTAAATCAACACATTTCTACCAGAGTGCTGTGGACAAGGCCTTACAGAGTTCAAATGGACACCTGGACTTGTTCCTCCGCTTCCTCCTGGGTCTTTCAGTAGAGACCAATCAGTCTCTCCTACGAGGTCTACAGACACAGAAAGGAAGTGTAGTTCAAAGACCAACCAGAACACAGTCCAGTACATTAAGAAAAAGATCAGTGAGAATTTGTCTGTAGAGAAAAGCATCAATCTGTTTCACTGTCTGAATGAACTGAATGACCGTTCTCTAGAGGAGCAGATCCAACAGTCATTGAGTTCGGGAAGTCTCTCCACAGCTAAACTCTCTCCTGCTCAGTGGTCAGCTCTGGTCTTCATCTTACTGTCATCAGAAAAACATCTGGAGGTGTTTGACCTGAAGAAACATTCTGCTTCAGAGGAAGCTCTTCTGAGGCTGCTGCCAGTGGTTCAACACTCCAACAAAGCTCTGTACGTGTACACATAAGTATCTAAACTGAATTATAAACACAACACTTGTTTTTTTGGCCTTTTATTGTGGCCAGCCTAAGACACACCTGTGCACTCCCCATGCTGTCTGAGCATCTTGATATGCCACACCTGTGAGGTGGATGGATTATCTCGGCAAAGGAGAAGTGCTCACTAACACAGAGTTTGACAGACTTGTGAACAATATTTGAGAGAAATAATCCTGTGTACATAGAGAAAGTTTTAGATCTTTGAGTCCAGCTCATGATGAATGGGGGCAAAAACAAAAGTGTTGCATTTATAATTTTGGTTCTGTGTATTTTGAATTTGGTATTACTCTATCAAGAAAAACTATTAACAACAGCTATTGTTTGAATTTTCTTCTCATGTATTGCTGAATCATCTTGAGGCTGAGTGGTTGTAATCTGTCAGTGAGAAGCTGTGAAGCTCTGTCTTCAGTTCTCAGCTCCAAGTACTCTAGTCTGAGAGAGCTGGACCTGAGTAACAACAACCTGCAGGATTCAGGAGTGAAGCTGCTTTCTTCTGGACTGAAGAGTCCACACTGCAGAGTGGAAAATGTCAGGTTAGTGTTCAGCTATTTGAAAATTATGACCCTCTGAGCAGATACTTACTTCATATAGCCTATGCATTATTGAATGGACTGACTGAAAATCCTTTTTAGGTTGATTGTTTGTAACCTCTCAGTGAGAAGCTGTGAAGCTCTGTCCTCAGTTCTGAGCTCCCAGTCATCTAGTCTGAGAGAGCTGGATCTGAGTAACAACAAATTGCAGGATTCAGGGTGAAGCTGTTGTCTTCTGGACTTAAGAGTCCACACTGCAGATTGTCAGTTCTCAGGTGGGTGTGCAGCTATTTGAAAATGATGAGCCTCTGAGCTCATATTTACTTCGTATAGCCTATTAATTATTGAATGGACTGACTGAAAATTGTTTTTAGATTGAGAGACTGTAATCTGTCAGAGAGAAGCTGTGAAACTTTATCGTCAGTTCTCAGCTCCCAGTCCTCTAGTCTAAGAGAGCTGGACCTGAGTAACAACAAACTGCAGGATTCAGCCTTGAATTTGCTGTCGTTTGGACTGAAGAGTCCACACTGTACACTGGCAACTCTCAGGTCAGGATTCAGCTATTTTTAAAATTTTACTCAGAAAGATTTAATTCATTTTTTTATATTTGATATGTGAAATGATTGACTGAAAATGATCTTCAGGTTGATTGGCTGTTACCTCTCAGAGAGAAGCTGTGAAGCTCTGTCCTCAGTTCTCAGCTCCCAGTCCTGTAGTCTGAGAGAGCTGGACTTGAGTTACAACAATGTGCAGGATTCAGGATTGAAGCTGTTGTCTGCTGGACTGAAAAGTCCACACTGCACACTGGAAACTCTAAGGTCAGGATCCAGCTAAAATGATGACTCTCTGAGCTCTTAACCACTACATACATTCATTATTGAATTAACTGATGGAAAATCATTTTTAGGTTGAATGGCTGTAAAATGTCAGAAGGAAGCCATGAAGCTCTGTCATCAATTCTCAGCTCCCTGTCCTGTAGTCTGAGAGAGCTGGATTTGAGTTACAACAATGTGCAGGATTCAGGAATGAAACTATTGTCGAGTCCACACAGTAAACTGGAAACTATAAGGTCAGGATCCAGCTGTTTGAAAATGATGGCTAACTAAGTACTACACATATTGTTAAATTGACTGACTGACTGAAAATTGCTTTTAGGTTGAGTGACTGTAAAGAGGCAGAGAGAAGCTGTGCATCTCAGTGTTCTGCTCTCAGCTCCCAGTCCTCTAGTTTGAAAGAGCTGGACCTGAGTAAGAACCTGCTGGATTCAAGAGTGACGTCTGCTGGACGGAAGAGTCCAGACTTTACACTGGAAACTGTCAGGTCAGATTTCAGCGTTTTGTAATGAGTCATCCTGCAAGTTAAATAAAGAAGCTTTTTAGTCTTTTATGATCCTGTATACAATGTGGCAGTAATATCATAACAAAGACATAGCTGACTTAGAAGCTTGTTGCCAGCATAGTGAGCTTGTCCACAAAGCAGAAATTACATTACATTTAGCTGATGCTTTTATCCAAAGCAACTTACAATTGCTATACATCCCTGAACTCTTGACACACTCACCTTTTGCGTTGGTAACTACCAAAGCTGCAGCCTCTCTGGCCTTGTAGTACACTGCTCAAAAAAATAAAGGGAACACTTAAACAACACAATGTAACTCCAAGTCAATCACACTCCTGTGAAATCAAACTGTCCACTTAGGAAGCAACACTGATTGACAATCAATTTCACATGCTGTTGTGCAAATGGAAAAGACAACAGGTGGAAATTATAGGCAATTAGCAAGACACCCCCAATAAAGGAGTGATTCTGCAGGTGGTGACCACAGACCACTTCTCAGTTCCTGTGCTTCCTGGCTGATGTTTTGGTCACTTTTGAATGCTGGCCGTGCTTTCACTCTAGTGCCAGCGCTGGTAATGGAGGCGCTACCAGGAGACAGGCCAGTACATCAGGAGATGTGGAGGAGGCCGTAGGAGGGCAACAACCCAGCAGCAGGACCGCTACCTCCGCCTTTGTGCAAGGAGGAGCAGGAGGAGCACTGCCAGAGCCCTGCAAAATGACCTCCAGCAGGCCACAAATGTGCATGTGTCTGCTCAAACGGTCAGAAACAGACTCCATGAGGGTGGTATGAGGGCCCGACGTCCACAGGTGGGGGTTGAGCTTACAGCCCAACACCGTGCAGGACGTTTGGCATTTGCCAGAGAACACCAAGATTGGCAAATTCGCCCCTGGCGCCCTGTGCTCTTCACAGATGAAAGCAGGTTCACACTGAGCACATGTGACAGACGTGACAGAGTCTGGAGACGCCGTGGAGAACGTTCTGCTGCCTGCAACATCCTCCAGCGTGACCGGTTTGGCGGTGTGTCAGTAATGGTGTGGAGTGGCATTTCTTTGGGGGGCCGCACAGCCCTCCATGTGCTCGCCAGAGGTAGCCTGACTGCCATTAGGTACCGAGATGAGATCCTCAGACCCCTTGTGAGACCATATACTGGTGCGGTTGGCCCTGGGTTCCTCCTAATGCAACACAATGCTAGACCTCATGTGGCTGGAGTGTGTCAGCAGTTCCTCCAAGAGGAAGGTATTGATGCTATGGACTGGCCCGCCCGTTCCCCAGACCTGAATCCAATTGAGCACATCTGGGACATCATGTCTCGCTCCATCCACCAACGCCACGTTGCACCACAGACTGTCCAGGAGTTGGCGGATGCTTTAGTCCAGGTCTGGGAGGAGATCCCTCAAGAGACCATCCGCCACCTCATCAGGAGCCCAGGCGTTGTAGGGAGGTCATACAGGCACGTGGAGGCCACACACACTACTGAGCCTCATTTTGACTTGTTTTAAGGACATTACATCAAAGTTGGATTGGCCTATAGTGTGGTTTTCCACAATAATTTGTAGAGCACTTTTCAAAAACAAGTTACAAAGTGCTTTAACAAGTGTAAAGACAATAATACCCAAAAGACAATAATACAAAAACAATACAAGATAAAAGCATGAAAACATTGAAAAGACTAAAATACATGTTTAAGATAAATATAAAAATAGTAAAATAGAATAAAATAAAAGGGATAAAATAAAGTCAAATAAGATCGGGAAAGGCTCTCCTATAAAAGTATGTTTTAAGAAGGGACTTAAAAGAGTTCACCGACTCAGCCGACCTGATTTCCTCGGGCAGGCTGTTCCAGAGCCTCGGGGCCCTGACAGCAAACGCTCTGTCCCCTTTAGTTTTCAGTCGAGACTCTGGAACAGACAACAGACCTCTGCCCGAGGATCTCAAGGTACGTGCTGGTGCGTATGGGACTAAAAGTCAGAAATATAACAAGGCGAGAGGCCATGAAGAGCTTTAAAAGTGATCAATAGAATTTTAAAGTCAATTCTAAAACATACTGGGAGCCAGTGTAATGAAGCTAAAATAGGAGTAATGTGGTCATATTTCTTTGTTCTGGTTAAAAGCCTGGCAGCTGAGTTCTGGACAGTCTGGAGTCGATCAGTAGATTTTTGGGTTAAACAGGTGAAAAGGCTGTTGCAATAATCCAGGCGTGATGAGATGAAGGCGTGTAAAATGGACTCGGTGTCCTTAAAAGTTAACATAGATCAAATTTTTGCTATATTTCTAAGTTGATAAAAACATGATTGAACAAGCTTTGTGGTGTGCTGCTCGAAATTTAAATTACTATCAAACCAAACACCAAGGTTCTTTGCCACAGACTTAATGTGATTTACTAGGGAACCAGCAGATGGCAGTATTTGTTTTGCCGTCTGCTGAGACCCGATGACCAGGATTTCTGTTTTGTCTGAGTTCAGCTGGAGGAAATTATTTGACATCCATTTTTTAACTTCACAAAGGCAGTTGTTAAGTGAACTCAGCATTCCAGGGTCTGTGGATCTGACGGGCAAGTACATTTCTGTGTCATCAGCATAAATATGAAAAGAAATACCATGTTTATGGATAATATGTCCAAGGGGAAGCAGATACAAGGAAAACAAAATGGGTCCTAAGACCGACCCCTGAGGCACACCATATTTAACTGGACAGAACGAGGAGACATAGTTGTTTACAGACACGCAAAACTTCCTATTTGACAGGTAGGATGAAAACCATTCTAGGGCAGTACCAGAGATCCCCACCCAGTGCCTCAGTCTGTCTAACATGATGTTGTGATCAATGGTGTCAAAAGCAGCGCTAAGGTCCAGGAGTACCAGGACTGAGCACATGCCTTCATCAGCAGACATTAAAAGGTCATTGGTGACTTTAAGCAGGGCAGTCTCAGTGCTGTGGTACTTCCTGAAACCAGACTGAAACTTTTCAAATATTTTGTTATTTTCCAGTACAGTGAGCGGCTGTTTGGACACAATTCTTTCTAGAATCTTTGCAATAAAAGGCAGTTTTGAAATTGGTCTAAAATTATGTGGGAGGGAGGGATCTAAACCACGTTTCTTTAAAAGTGGGTTCACGCAAGCCGTTTTAAAATAATCAGGGACACAACCAGTAGATAGGGAGCTGTTGAAAACAGAGATCAAATGGGGCCCAACAGAATCTATTACTTTTAGTAAGTACTTTGTAGGTATTACATCAAGTGGGCTGGAGGACACTCTCATTTGTGATACTGTTTTTAAAAGCTCAGACAAGTCGATGGGATAAAACTGGTTAAAACTCTCTTGTTGCTGGTGAGGAACCTCTGAGTAAGAGGCTGCGGGGGTTATAGAGGCTCTGATTGACACCACCTTATTGGTAAAATAAGATTCACAGTCATCATTACTTCCAGCTGAGGCACAAGGAGGGGTTGGGTTTACCAGCTGATCCACAGTCTTAAACAGAAACCTGGGATTGTGTTTATGTGTAGTAATGAGTTAGGAAAAATAGTGTGTTCTTGCATCCTTAACCAAGTTATTGTAGTTAATTAATAAATCCTTCAGACTGAGGTAATGGACTTGGAGACTGGATTTTTTCCATCTGCGCTCTGCTTTCCTGCATTCCCTTTTTAGGCTGCGAATGCTGTCATTTATCCAGGGTTGCTTATAGTCGCAACCCTGGATAGTCGCATCCACTTTACAAGCTTTGAACATGGTCCAATATGTCCACCGAGGGGTAAATAAAGATCTTGCAGACAATGGGGCTGGGTCAGAAGTTCAAAGATAACACTTCTAAAGCTCTGGAACTACACTGCTCAAAAAATTTAAGGGAACACTTAAACAACACAATGTAACTCCAAGTCAATCACACTCCTGTGAAATCAAACTGTCCACTTAGGAAGCAACACTGATTGACAATCAATTTCACATGCTGTTGTGCAAATGGAATAGACAACAGGTGGAAATTATAGGCAATTAGCAAGATCTGAAGTTGTTCAGTCCTGTGGTCCTTGATTTTTTGGGGACAGGGATGATGGTGGAGGCTTTGAAGCAGGCTGGCACATGGCATGTCTCCAGTGAGGTGTTAAAAATGTCTGTGAACACTGGAGACAGCTGATCAGCACAGTGCTTCAGGGTGGATGGGGAGACAGAGTCCAGCCCAGCTGCTTTGTGGGGTTTCTGCCTCCTCTGTTGACATCCCCCCCTGAGATGGAGAGAGGAGGGAAGGGGTGGAGATGGTCAACTCTGAGGAGTGGGGGGAGGAGATGGTGGACAGGGCTTGAAGCTGAGCGGAGGAGTCACGGGGGATGGTGTCCTATTGGCGGCAGTAGAACTGGTTCAGCTCATTTGCCAGGCGAGAGTCGTTGATGGAGTGGTGGGCTTTGGGTTTGTAGTTAGGAGTCTCAACCCCCTCCAGACAGAAGTAGCATTGTTTGCAGAGAACTGGTTCTTTAGCCTCTCTGCGTATAGTCGTTTAGCTTCTCGCACCTCCTTGCTAAACCTGTACTTCTGCATCTGGCTCGTCCCCACCCCAAAAATGCCTCCTCCTTTTCCAACCTTAGCTGTCTGAGTTTGGCTGTAAACCAGGGTTTGTCATTGTTATAACTCACCCTGGTGCATGTTGGTATACAAGTGTCCTCACAGAAGCTGTTATAGAACGTCACAGCCTCTGTAAACTCGTCCAGATTGTTGGTAGCAGTCCTGAAAACATCCCAGTTAGTGCAGTCCAAACACGCCTGAGGATCCTCAACAGCTTCACTAGTCCACTTCTTTGATGTCCTCACTACAGGTTTACAGAGCTTTATTTTTTGCCTGTAAGCAGGAATCAGGAAGATCATGACTTGATCAGAGTATCCCAGTGGAGCGCGTGTGACGGCGTGATAGGCACTGCTAACTGTGGTGTAGCAGTGTTACCCTCTCTGGTTGGACACTTAATGTCCAATAATTCCACTGATGACGTGAGAAAAGTGGGAACTAAATCTGCTGGAGTTGTTCCCCTGATGTTCGTGAGCTCTTCTCTGGTAAAAGAGCACCGGGAATCACAGCCGAAAACTGAATTAACACACAAAAACAGAACAAAACAAAGAGCACCTACCACCGAGGCCACTATGTATCTAGACATCTAGAATATTAGAACATCTAGAATATTAGAAAGAGCTGATGCTAGTCAACCAGTACAAGCATGACTTCAGTGCTCTGCCTGAACCAACAGTATGAACAGAGGACTTATGTAAAAGTATAATATAGAATGTCTGTGAAGATTCTCAGTCATCCAGGTGGATTAAAATCAAGGGCATCTGGACTTGGTTGAAGAAGATACTCGAACATGTTTCACCTCTCATTCAATAGGCTTTTTCAGTTCTGACTGACTGGCAGGAAATCCCACCTATTTAACCTTTGTGTGGGCGTTATCAAGGTGATGGATGTAGCTTGGTTTGTTAGTGTCCCTGGAAATTGGATCTGGGAACAAATGGATCTTTCTTTTGAAGTTGCCCTTGAATTTAACCCACCTTCGATATAACATAGAACTAATTTTACTTTAGACAGTTTACACTGAGGTCCTGTTTGTTTGTGTGTGTGTGTGTGTGTGTGTGTTTAGTCTTTCAGACAGTCTTATCAAGAAGAAAGGCTGTCCTTCTCTGTCCTCACCTCTGATCTCCAACCCCTCCCATCTGAGAGAGCTGGACCTGAGCTACAATCATCCAGGAGACTCAGGAGTGAAGATGGTGTCTGCTGGACTGGAGGATCTACACAGGTATAGACAAACAGAAAGACCATCTGCCATTCATCAACACTGGTGTCAATCTGCTGTGAGAAGAACAAACATTTCTTGGTTATCTTAACATGGTTATAAAAGTTAGGAGGCAAATCAACACATTTCTACCAGATTGCTGTAGACAAGGCCTTACAGAGTCCAAACGGACACCGGGATTTTTTAGTTTGCTTCTTCCAGGATCTTTCACTCGACATCAATCAGTCTCTCCTACGAGGTCTACTGAGATACATCTCAGTACGACAGAGAAAGGTAGTTCTTGTTGGTGGTCAAATGCATCTGTTTGTGTGTGTGTTTAGTCTGTCAGGCAGTCTGATCACAAAGAAAGGCGGTAAATCTCTGGCCTCAGCTTTGAGCTCCAACCCCTCCAATCTGAGAAAGCTGGACCTGAGCTGCAATCATCCAGGAGACTCAAGAGTGAAGCTGCTGTCTGCGGGACTGGAAGAATCGCACTGCAAACAGGACACTCTCAGGTATGAACAAACAGAAAGACGGGACACTCAAGAATGGACAGATGGGCAACAGCAGCTCTCACATCATTTCTCTGTCACCGACTAACTGTTTAATGGTGTAAATGAGTGAAAGTGTATGAAGTTGATTCTGACTTTGTCTCTACCTCCAGCATTGACCGTGGTGGACTGCAGAGGCCAAAATGTGGGGTCAGAAAGTGTGAGTGTTTTTTGATTCATAAGTACACAGCTGAACATGTTAGTAAATGTAAACGTACAGCTGAGTAAGTGGTCAGTCCCCCAAAATATAGTGCTGAATAGCATCGTAATTTAGGTGGCCAGAGACTCCAGCAAGGCAGGAATTCATTTGGCAGAAAGAAAAAGATGAAACCTTAATCTGTGTGATCAAGATCTCAGGATGCTTATTTACCAACAAAGCAAGAGAGTTGCAATTTAGAGTTATACGTAGTCTTTAAATTACTCTGGTGAGTGGATTTCAGACAGTCCCTACGGTTTCACATTAGATTTGGACCACTATGGAACCAATCACTTTAGAAGCTATATAAGCTTCTCAAGGTACATTTCCATGTAGATATTTAATATGCCACTATCCAGTCATTATGAATAATGACCTTTGTTATATATCTAATTGTATGAACATTCTGTCATGGTGTTTGTTTTAAATGAATTATTAATTGAGTTTTTTCATTTTCTGTGAGGATTTTTTTAACCTTTATTTAAACAGGAAAGTCCCATTGAAACATTGTCACCTTCAGGTGCTGCCCATAAGCTCATACAAGTTTGACAGATATAAGTTCTTGTGTTCAAGTAGCCTTCAGTTTTCTACTCTGGATTTGTTTAATAAATTAGTGTTCAAAATCCTACAAGTCATAACCACAACACAACCTAATTAATCTAAAATTCTCAAAGATCTTAAAGTGAATTGAGATGAATTTACCATCAAGTTCCTCCCTGAATGGGAGGCTTGGGACCAAATGTACGATACTTTTGCAAAATACCATATATACTGGATTTTCCCACAAGAGCTGGTATTTATATAAACATAATGTGTGATGGTCACACTGACTTCAGACCAGCATGCACATGTTTTCTAGAGCCAGCTGCGGTTGATAAGTTGGCTAGAATGAGAGACAGAAGCTTAATAATTAAACATTGCTGTCGTTGTTGGAAGATACACTAATAGTGTGTTTTTCAGTGTACACCGCAATCTGTGAATCACTAACTATTCTTATTTACCTTAGAGGCATAATTTTATTTCACTATGTTTTATTCATGATATTCTTTATTGTGCAGCACTTTGTAGTTTAAGTCAGTTTCAATAACAGCACAATAAAGTAACTCACTGTCTCTCATGTTCTCTCCATCAGATGCCTGTGAACTGGAACTGGACACAAACACAGCAAACAGAAACCTCAAGCTGTCTGACAGCAACAGGATGGTGACATATTCGACAGAGGATCAGTCATATCCTGATCATCCAGAAAGATTTGTCTGCCCTCAGCTGATGTGTACAAATCGTCTGACTGGTCTCTATTACTGGGAGGTCAAGTGGACAGGCATGGTTGAAATAGCTGTGACTTACAGAGGAATCAGAAGGAACGCACAAAGTAATGACTGTGTGTTTGGAATGAATGATCAGTCCTGGAGTCTGAGCTGCTCTGATGTTGGTGGTTACTCTGTCTGCCACAATAAGAGAAAAACATCTATCCCCTCTTCCACCTCCTCCTCTGTCTCTCACAGAGTAGGAGTGTATGTAAACTGTCTTGCTGGCATTCTGTCCTTCTACGAAGTCTCTCTTGGCAAACTGATCCCCCTCCACACCTTCAACACCACATTCACTGATCCTGTTTATCCTGGGTTTGGTTTCTGGTCTGGTTGTTCTGGTTCCTCAGTGTCTCTGTGTTCTCTGTAGTTTAGGGTCAGAAACACCGCAGATTGAAGATCAGCTGCTGAAATCAAAGCCCACCTCTCAGCTCTGTTCAGCATCACACACACTGTGTCTTAGACTCAAACACAATCATCAACATTTTAACAGTTTACAGAGGTCATGTTCTGCTCATTCTCAGGTTCCTAATGTTATTAAGTGGTTGTACCAGAACAGGTTTACATGGTTTAACTTTTAAACCATATTATTTTCACCCTGTGTGTTGAACTCTCTGTTTTAGTAACCGAGTGAGGCATCTCACCTCTGCCAACAAAGGCCAATTTGACCAATGGTAATACAGCACCAAGGTGGTTATCTTGGCACCCCGGGGATGCACGGCTAACTGAGCTAACTAGCTAAGATGCAGACAGATAATGTACAGTTAGTAACAGTTAGAGGTTTAACAAAAAGGAAAGCTATCCATCATGATCTTATATCAATCAAGAAGCTCTGTAAATCATCTTTGTACTGGGTTCCCTGTTCTGGTTGTGTTTGGTGCTGTTCATGCAGCGTTTAAACTTTGTATCTACTCGCTCTAAATCATCTTCCTGATGGCAGCACCTCATAATCTATCTTCTCAATCAAAATATTTTCTCAATCAAATATGATCCATATAGTGCAAAACAAATCACATCATATATATTTTGATTTCATGGGAATAAGAGATTTTATTATTGGATGTTTCTCTAAAAATACACTGAGCAGACAACGCCACTTTGATACCAAGGTCCTTATACTCTTGTCTTTATTTGCGTATTTGGTATTGAAGTGATCCAAAATCATTTCTCTCTGGATGACAACAGCAGGTGAAACTTTATTCTACTTTCTCAAACGTGCAAGCCATTCTCACTGGGGCCCCTCAGAGATGTAAGCTCACCCCATCTTTTCACATTATATACATATGAATGCAGAAGCCGGTACAAAACAACTATATTTTAAGTGTTAAGTGATACAGCCATACTAAGTCTACTGAAAAATGACTCTAACATTAATGTTTATAAGGCAGAGCTAGAAGAGGTGGTGCAGTGGTGTGAAGAGCACAACCTGAGACTGAATATAGGAAAAACTAAAGAAATGGTATTTGATCCCAGGTTTATTAGTGATCACATCCCTGTCTTAATCAATGAGGAAAGAGTATTTAGGGATTCATTTTGATCAATTAAACTTGATAAACAGTAAGGGATGAGGGATGTGGGTGTTTGTATCAGGGGGCAGGGACTTGGTGTGGGCTTTTGTGCAACATGCAACATGGTTTAGCTAGGAACCGTTCTTTACTTTAAAATGTCTTTGTTCATTTATCTGTATTTACTGTCAGTGGGTGTTAGTGACCTGGAGCCGGTTGCACCAACAGGGCTTATGCCTGGTCTTAAGGTAAGTAGGTCTTAACTCAGCATACCGACCTAATAGTTATGACAGTTGCACCATACAGGCTTAAGTCCTCTTCTCACTAAGACCAGGTGTAAATCTTACGCCTAGTCAGTAGCAGGCGTAAAGTAAAAATCTAGGAAAGTTTCTATAGTAACCACTTGATAACTCAGCAGTAAAGACATGGCGCGCCTTATACACAGACTTTACAATGAGCGGGCTTTTAGACGGGAGAGAGTTATTAGGGACAGAAGCAATCCATTGGACATTTACAATGATGAGGAGCTGATTCAGAGGTTTCGGTTTTGTCGGAGAGATATATATGAACTTGTTGAAGAGCTGTCACCCGACTTACAGTTTGTGTCGGATCACAACGCAGCATTGACACCCGCATTACAGCTGTTTTTATGCAAATGCTGCGTTTCAAAACACTGTTGGAGACATGATTAATGTCCACAAATCCAGTTCCAGCTTTTCCTGCTTGGCCTGTAATTTCTTTGTTTCAGCCTCCACTCTAACAATTTCTTTTTCAAGAAGTGTCTGCTGCAGATCTTCCAGCTTCCTCCTCCGTTTCATCGGCGGTGCACCGCTGCTGCCTTCATGAGTATTTTGTGGAGTGACTGGGGCCTCCATCGAGTCTGAAAATACAGAGAATCTGTCATAGGCCTACTGTTATCTGACAACTACTAAAACTGTTAGTGTAGGCTACTCCAATATATAGGCTACACACCTTCACAATTCACACTCTCGCTTGAGTGGTCGACATCCATCTCTGGAGAGACAGCAGTTTCTTCCAGATCGGTACCGCCACTTTCTGCACCGACCAAACCAATAAAAGCCGGGGAATCCTCTCCAAAGATATCCACAATTATGGTACTGTACACGGAGGTTTTTGGGGGAGGACCCGCGCCGGTCGGGTGGTGTTTTTTTGAAGACAAATCTTTTTTTGCTTTGCTCAGGAGGTCTTTCCACTTTTTCCTCACATCGCTCTCTGTCCGAAGGCAGCCGGAGTCAGAGCAATCGTTAATCGCCTCCGTTATCTGTTTCCATGTTGTTTGTTTCTTCTTGTTCGTTATTGAGTTTGATTGCTTGGCAGTCAGTGTGTGTCTGTGCTGACTGTACAGCTCAATTAACTTTCGTATCTCAATGTCGGTGAAATTTCCTTTCCTTTTTCTTTGATCCTCCATTGAGACGGCTACAAGTTAACAAAACAGCGTAACCCAGCAACGCACGCTGTTAGGCAACCGCTATAGTTCTGTGGCCATTCACATGAACGCGCATCGCTAAGACCAGGCGTAGTTAAGCCTAGGCTTAAATTTGGTTGGTGCAACCGACGTTAGGTCAACTCTAAAGACTGGTCTTAACTAAGACCTACTTAGCAGTTAGGACCAGGCTTAGTAAAGCCCTGTTGGTGCAACCGGCTCCTGATGTCTTGTTTCACTACTACTTTTCTATTTTTACTATTAAGAACTGTTAGCAGGGGAGGAACGGTGATGCAGTGGTTAGCACTGTGGTCTCACAGCAAGAAGGTCGTGAGTTCAAACCCCGGTTGCCCCGGCCTTTCTATGTGGAGTTTGCATGTTCTCTCCGGGTTCTTCCTCCCACTGTCCAAAGACATGTGGCCTAGGTTGGTTGGTGACCCTAAATTGTCCTTAGGTGTGAGTTTGAGCGTATGGACTGGCGACCTGTCCAGGGTGTACCCTGCCTTTTGCCCGATGTCAGCAGGATAAGCGGTTGAGAATGGATGGATGGAATTGTTTAGCAGTCAGAATGTGTATTTTCTAGGAACTTATTTAGTTAGCCTGTTTATTCATCTGTTAAGGGCACTATGAATTGTGCTTGTTCAACTTTAACAAGAGTATATGTTACTTTATGAACACGTTATAATGAAATGAAATGCTCATGAAGAAGAATGTTAACTTTGTGGAAAGATAAATGATTAAATGTGCAATATAAACATTGGAAACTTATTGAACAGTTAAAGTAAATCCTCAAGACACTAAGTCACGCCCCGGGAGAGTGGGAAACGAGACCCTGAGGACCTCACTGTCACGCTCGCTTACGCTTACAACTCCCTTACTCTCTGGAAGTCTCTCCTCAAACTTTCCTGCCTTCAACGATTCCTGCCCGGAGAAATTTTGACCTTTATTTCCCCTTTTTGTTTTGTCAACCCCAGAGCGGGAGATTTGATTTGCCTTTTTCTAACATCGTTTCCTGGAAGAAATTGCCCAGGTCATATCTTTTTAGATTTACATCAGCAAAGTTAGTGATTTTTACCTTTTATTTTCTTTTTGTTTTGTTAAAGTTATTACTTCATTTAACTTATGGATCTTGGTTAAGAAGCAACCAACAAGTTTTATTTTGAAATCTTTTTTTGTTTTAATTGATTCTTACTACTTCTAATGGCAAACAGAGTTTGAAGCTTAATCAAACGAGTAAGTTGCGCCGCCAGCAACATTGAGGACATCAGACAGTCCAACTCTGAACAACAGACCAGCGCTAGCCACATCTACTGTAAAGGTGCGTTCCCAGCGAAAGTGAATCCAGCGTTTTGGGCGGCTCGATTACATACAAAGTCGCAAATTCCTGCGAATTTGCTCCGGGCAGCAGAAGAAGTGGAAAATTTTCAACTTGGGCGAGAAATTCT